AGAGGGTTGCCCAAGAAATGACACAAGGCAACCTTTCAGCCTCTAGATATCATCTGTTTTTTTGCTTACTTCGGGGCCACACCTGTCTGTGCTCAGGGCTCACTCCTGGTGGGGCTCAGAGGACCATTAGTGATGCTGGGGATTGAACTCAGGCCAGGTGTGTACAAGGCAAACACCCTACCTGCTGTACTAACTCTCTAGCTCCAAAATGCTTCATCTTTTAAAAGAATCCTTAGATGCTGTAGATTTTCTCCACTGTACTATCTCTCCAGCCTCCCAAATGCTTCGTCTTTCTAACAGAATGATGAGATGCTGTAGATTTTCTTCAAGTCTTGAGTTAGCTAAATCCTACAAATACTTAGATCTGTTACGTTTTCACATTTGTGTGCTGGTCTGTTTTTTGTATCAAAAGAAAGGGCTGGAGATGGGATGGGGTGGGTGGCAGGAGGGATACTGGGGACATTGGTGTCGGAAAATGCACACTGGTGGAGGAATGGGTGTTCAATCGTTGTGTGGCTGAAACTCAATCATGAAAGCTTTGTAACTGTATCTCACGGTGATTCAATAAAAAATAACAATGAGAAGAAAGGGCTGGAGAGATAGTACAGTGAGTAAGATGCTGCCTTGCACATGGCTGACCTGGTCCAATTCCCGGCATCCCATATGGTCCCCCAGCCCTGCCAGGAGTAAGTCCTGAGCACAGCTAGGCATGGCTCAAAAACAAAGTAAAGTAAAAGTAAAGGCCCTCCCGTTGATCATCGATTTGCTCGAGCGGGCCCAGTAACGTCTCCATTGGAGACTTTGTTGTTACTGTGTCTGGCATATCGAACACTCTCGGTAGCTTGCCGGGCTCTCCGAGAGGGGCGGAGGAATCGAACTCGGGTCGGCCATGTTGGCTGCTTGTAAGGCGAACGCCCTACCCGCTGTGCTATCGCTCCAGCCCAAAAACAAAAATGAAAAGAAATATGCATTCTGCAACTTGATGATGGATTTATCTATTTCTCAGTTCTATACATTCTTTTGCTCTTGTTGCTGGTGGGGGTGGGGTTATGGCTGGCTCTGTGCCCAGGAGTGAGCTCTGCTGGAACATCACCTATGTGGTGCCAGGGATGCAAATGGAGGTCTGCTCTGTGCAAAACAATAGCCTTACTCTCTGTACTCTTTTTCCACCTCCCTCTGTTTTACTACTTAAAAAAATTTTTTTTAAATGAATCACCGTGAAATACAATTGCAGATTTACAAATGTTTGTGATTATGTTTCAGTCATACAATGATCGAGTGCCCATCCCTCCATGAGTGCCCATTCTCCACCACTAATGTTCCCAGTGTCCCTCCCGCCATCCCCCACCCCACCCCCGTCTGTGTCAGGCACATTCCCTTTTACTCTCTTTTGGGTGTTACGGTTCACAATACACGTACTAAATGGCCATCATGTTCAGTCCATAGTCTACTTTCAGCACGCGTCTACCATCCTGAGCAAGCCCTCCAAGCATCATTTACTCGGTGGTCCCTTCTCCTTCTCGGTACGACTTCTTGCTTTATTTTTCAAGCCCCGCTGTTAGGTGCATTGACTTTTAAAATTGTTATCTTTCTTCAGAAAATTGGTTCCGTTGACCTTATATCATCTTCATTCGTACAGTATACTTTATCTGAAATTTTCCTTTCTCAGCTGTTAAATAGCTATTTCATCTTACTTGTGAGTAGCATTGAATGTATTGATGTCTTTATATATAATAATGTCTTTTGGGGGGACAGTATGTAATTGGATCTTATTTTTATAATCCCAATTGTCAATCTCTCTCTTTACAAGACATGTATATTCGATTTAGTGTAATTTTTATAATTGTGGTAAAAGCGATCATTTTGCAGTTTGTCCTCCTCTTTATTCCAGCTGTTCTTAATTTCTTGTACTTCGTGACCTATCTTATTTTGGGATGGTGTAGCTTTCATGATATTCTGTTAGCCCTGCTACTGTATTATTAGCTATATTATATGGTTTTATTTTTTTCCTTTGTGGTTGTAGAAGGGTTTATAATAGACGTATTTAACTTGCCATAATTGACCTTTGAATACAATTACCCTTACATTTCAATGCTTAAAATACAGTGTAAGACACTCACGAGTGACCCTTACTTCCTCTCCTGCCCCTTGTGGTTTATTTATATATTCTGGGCTGCCCAAGCAGTTAGGATTAGCGAGTCCAGGACCCCACCAGCCATTCTTGGCCTTTGGAAGGCCTAAGGAGGTGCTGCTGCCTGGGCCCTGCTGTGTTGGGGATCCCTGGGCCACCCCTGCAGTGCTGGGGACCTCCAGGCTGCCCCCAGAGGTGCTCAGAGGATTCTGGGGTGCCCAGGCCCACTTCACGCTGGGCATGTGTCCTAACCACTGCACTATCTCCTGACCTTTGTGGTATTTTGTCATGCATTTTTCACTTCTACATCAATCATGATCTCAGTATCTGGTCTCTTTTTATTTTTATTTATATTTATTTATTGCTTTTTTTGGGGGGGTCACACCTGGCGATGCACAGGTTTTACTCCTGGCTCTGCACTCAGGAATCACCCCTGGCAGTGCTCAGGGGACCATATGGGATGCTGGGAATCGAGCCCGGGTGGGCCGCGCGCGAGCACTACCTGCTGTGCTCTCACTCCAGCCCCATGTCTCTTTTTATTTTGGCTTTTTGGGTCATACCTGGTGATGCTCAGGGATGACTCCTCCTTCTACACTCAGAAATCACTCCTGGTGATGCTTGGGGGACCCTATGGGATGCCGGGGTTGGCCGTGTGCAAGACAAACACCCTACCCGCTGTACTACCACTCCGGCCCAGTATCTGGTCATTTTTATGTCAGATAGATAATAAAGGCAAGAAAACCTAATTAATTGATTAGCCCCAGTGCCGGACTCCACACGGAGCCACATCCTTGAGCCCGAAAGCAGTTTCTTCTCTTATTTGCGAATTCATTAAGAAGCTTCTGCTTAAAATCAGGAAATTCAGGGGTTGGAGCGCTGCCGGGCGGAAGCTCGTGGGCCAGGCTGCGGGCGTGAGTCTGGTGGTAGCCTATAGCTCTGGGCGCTCAGCATGCTCTGGAGCTCGGACGGCTGCTCCAGGAACCCGAGGACCTCTGCGAGCCTGCAGGTCTTCTTTGCCCATGCCAGCCAGGGGCGTCTCAGGAGCCTGTCCAGCCCCCGATCCTCAGTGGGGCAAGTTAAGTAGGTACTTTCTTGATGTTTTGGGGCTCCTGGGGGCACTTAACCCAGTCTCAGATGACTCACTGAGGCTTCAGCTGTTTTCTCATCTGCTTTTGACACAGTCTCTTCCTCCCGTGTCAAAGGGCATGCCATGGACTGGGCTGGAGCGAGAGCACAGCGGGTAGGGCGTTTGCCTTGCACGCGGCCGACCCGGGTTCGATTCCCAGCATCCCATATGATCCCCTGAGTATTTCCAGGAATAATTGCTGAGTGCAAAGCCAGGAGTAACCCCTGAGCATCGCCGGGGTGTGACCCAAAAAGAAAAAAAAATAAGGTGAAGCTGTTCACTGAGTTCCTTCAATCCTCCCTCGACCACCCAGGCACCGGGAGTCCGTGTCCTTGGCTGGCCGCGGCTTTTGTTCGCTCCTGAATGGGAAATGTAGACTTTACACAATTGCTTTTTCCATTTCCTGATGAACCCTGTGTTCTCTGGCGGCTGCCTACATTGCATTTATGTTTCTACTGTGACTGTGCCTCTCTGCATAATAATAATTATTAGTTTAGGTTCTGGGCCACACCTGGGTGCTCAGGGCTTCCTCCTGGTTCTGTGCTCAGGGGTCACTTGTGGTGGTGCTTGGGGGGAAAACTATGAGACGCTGGGGATGAAACGTTATTACTGCTGCAGCTATATGTAGGCAGAAGGGCCGTGACCTCAGCACTCTCTCCCCAGCCCCTTGGCTGTTTGCGTTTTATTCCCCATTAAGTTAATTTGTGTGGCAACATTTTATTTCCTTCCTTGTACAACTTGTTTTCTTTTGAAATAAGTATCCTTTTCTTGTTTTTCATTAGCTTTCTTTCTTTCTTTCTTTCTTTCTTTCTTTCTTTCTTTCTTTCTCTCTCTCTCTCTCTCTCTCTCTCTCTCTCTCTCTCTCTCTCTCTTTCTGTCTGTCAGGAGGGGGATCTATGTCTGGCGATGCCCAGGGCTGACCACTGACTCTGCACTCAGGAATTACTCCTGGCGGTCCTCAAGGAACCATATGGAATGCCGGAGATAGAACTCAGGTCGGCCTTGTGCAAGGCAAACACCTTACCTGCTGTTTGTTCTGTTGTTCCAGCCCATCATTTGCAAGATTTCTGGAATCATTTCTCTGGGCTGGAGCAATAGTACATCAGGTAAGATGTTTTCTTTGTACATACTTGATCTGGCTCGATCTGTGGTATCACATACCCTGAGCACAGAGCCAGGAGTCAGTGCTGAGCACTGCCAGTGGCAGGAAATAAACTGGGATTGGCTGTGTGCAAGGCAAGTGTCTTACCCCCTGTATTATCTCTCCAGCCCAACATTTTGTTTTTGGGCCACACCTGGCAGTGCTCAGAATACCATGGGGTGCCAGGGATAGAACCCAGGTCTCCTCCATGTGCTCCAGCCCACAGAGCTCTCGGGCCTGTGAACATACTCTGTGGAAGCAGCATTCTATTAGTTCATTTGGTTGTTTAATTAATTAATTATTTTTTTTTTTTTTGCCTTTTTGGGCCACATACAGTAGTGTTCAAGACTTACTCCTGGCTCTGCACTCAGGAATCACTCCAGGTGGTGCTCAGGGGACCCTATGGGATGCTGGAGATTGAACCCAGGTTGGCCACGTGCAAGGCAAACGCCTTCCCCACTGTACTGTCACTCTGGGTCCTCTTAGTTCATTTTAAAAACCAAAGAAAATGAGGGTAGAGAGGAACAAATCCTTGCCGAAAGTCTTGGTTGAAGCCAGGGGCCTGCGGATGTCTTGCCCCACAGAGAAGCCCTCTTTGAATGATGTCGGGTGAGTCCTAGGGCAGGCATCACTGCGGAGTCAGGGACCCAGCTCAAGGGGACCTGGCTTCAGGCAGAGCAAGGCCCTCGGCTTGCTGAGCCTCAGTGTCCACATCTGTGAGATGCAGGGGTGAGGGTGGGGCAGAGACCTCTGTGAGATGTGACCCCATCCCTACACGGTGCAGTGACCCCTGCCCACCACAGTGCAGCAACCCCCGCCTACCATGGTGCAGTGACCCCTGCCCACCATGGTGCAGTGACCCCTGCCCACTGCGGTGCAGTGACTCTGCCCACCATGGTGCAGTGACCCTGTCCACCATGGCACAGTGACCCCTGCCCACCATGGTGCAGTGACCCTATCCACCACAGTGCAGTGACCCCTGTCCACCACGGTGCAGTGACCCTGTCCACCACAGTACAGTGACCCCTGTCCACCACGGTGCAGTGACCCTGTTCACCACAGTGCAGGACTCCTGTCCACCACAGTGCAGTGACCCTGTCCACCATGGCACAGTGACCCCTGCCCACCATGGTGCAGTGACCCTGTCCACCATGGCACAGTGACCCCTGCCCACCATGGTGCAGTGACTCTGCCCACCATGGTGCAGTGATCCTGTCCACCATGGCACAGTGACCCCTGCCCACCACAGTGCAGTGACGCTGTTCACCACAGTGAAGTGACCACTGCTCACCCCGGTGTGGCTGTGTTTCCCCAGGTGGCACACGCGGGTCCGGCATGGATCTCTGCCACATCGTCTTGCTCTTCCTGTGCCTCGGAACTGCCCAAAGTGGGGGTCGGGGTAAGTGGCTCTTCCAAAAGGAGTGAGTGGGGGCCTCAGCTGGCTGGGGTGGGAGGGGCGCTCAGGGGCTGGGAGAGGGGACCCCTCCCAGACAGAGGCTGAGGCCTGATGCTTCCCCAGGCAGGAGCCAAGACCCCCAGGAACTGATGAACGAAATGGAGAACATGGACAAAAAGTTGAAGGGACGAAAACTGGGACGGCTTTCTGGTCTGTGAGTCTGGGGGCTCCCTGCTCGCCCACCCAGAGCCAGCCGCCCCCTGCTTACCTCCAGCTCCCCCCTGCATCAGGCGCCAGGTCCAGTGTGAGCTCACACCTTCCCGCATGCAGCGCACGCGGAGTCCTTCCTGTGGGGCCTCACGCGACACTGGGGATTCCCGCGAGGGGACTATCCACGGTGGGGCGCTTCACCACAGAGGCCAGAGCCAGGGCCGAATTGGGGTGCTCTGAACCTTTTATCCGGGCAAGGACACTAAGAGCCTGAGAGTCTGGACTCTCCAGGGGTCCGGGTCTCAGAGCTCTGGGTGAGAGGCCAATGCTGAGCAGGCTAGGAAAGTACCGAGATTGCGGGACATCTCTCATAGTCAGCAGGGAGCAGCCAAGGAGGGCTTCCTGGAGGAGGTGGCAGCAAAGGTACCAGAGCTGACTGGGAGAAGGGAACATGGGGGAAGGTGAGAGCTAGCAGGGACTCCATGGACAAAAGACCAGCGGTAGCAGTGACCGGGTGTGTGGAGGGAGGCCCTGCTGTCTCAGCCCATCTTGCCCCTGCCGCCTCTGGACTCCGACCCCCTCTCTCCTCCTCAGTTACATCCAAAGCCTAGCGGGGAGCCTGTTGAACGTCAACCTTCAGGGCTCCACCCACACCTTCAAGACAAAGAGAATCCAGAGTGTGGCCGTGGACCTGTCCTGCACCAACTTCACAGGCCTCTCTCTCGCTACGGTCAGCAGCAGACGGGCCTCACCCTAGCAATCCCCTTGGGCTTCAGGAGTGGGTTTCTGGGTTCCAGGACTCGCCCCCAAACTCCAGGTCCTGCCCTATGGGGAGGAGAGTTGCTGTCTCTAACCGTGGGTGAGAGACCGGAAGGGGGGGTCTCTGAGAGCCCCCGAGGGTACCTTTATTATTTTTTAAAATTTATTTTAATTAAATTATTATTTTGCTTTTTGGGTCACACCTTGCAATGCACAGGGGTTCCTCCTGGCTCTGCACTCAGGAATTACTCCTGGCGCTGCTCGGAGACCATATGGGATGCTGGGAATCGAACCCAAGTCGGCCACGTGCAAGGCAAATGCCCTGCCCGCTGTGCTATCATTCCAGCCTCCCTCCCCCGAGGGTACCTTTAGCAGGAGAAGAAGCTGGCCCCTGAGGGGCTGGGAGCCAGGATGCTCCACCCTTGGGCCCCTTTTGGGCGGGGTTGGTGACCGCTGTCAAGGCAGGGCAGGAGCCTGGGCTTGGGAGACACAGAAGTTGTGCAGGACCCAGGAGGAGCGGGGTAACACGCGGGTGGGGGTGGGGATCACGAGGGTAGAGGCCCTGGGGTGAAGGAAGGGGGGACAGTGGTGGCCCAGCCTGTGACCCCCCACACCCATACAGGACCAGGCCAGTCATGCCGTGGACTTCCCAGCCGAGGTGGCCCGGAATGCCTGCCAGGCCGGTCCCCAGAAGATGCGTTTCATCTGTATCTACTTCTTCATGTCCTTCTTCTTCCAGGTCAGAGACTTGGGCGGGAGAGGGGGCATGCCATGGAGGCATGCCACGGCCAGGGGTCAAGGGAACCTGCAGCTTGCTTGCTGATTTGAGCACAGCTCAAGCTGGTGGCCGTCCCTCTCGGGGCATCGCTGAGTGGACTGGTGGGAGGGGGGCACTTGGAGTGGGCAAAGGGGTTGGAGGAAACCTGCTCTGGGCCTGCTGATTGATGACTGTCCAACTCTCTAGAACATTCCACCCAGACTCAATCGCCACCCGAGGCGGGTTATGACCCTCTAGGACTTCACAGGGTGGGAGAGGGGGTGTGCTCAGGGCGTCCCAAGTCAGGATGCTCATGGAGAAGGCACCGGCTTTGCCGATGAGCTGGGGTCTCAAGGAGGCCGGGCAGAGATGGAGACGAGGCAAGTGAGGCCCGCGGGGGTGGCGGTGACAGCTTTGGGAGGGGACAGTGGATCCTCAAGGCTGGGTCCGAGACTGGAGAGAGAGCACGGGGGTTAAAGCACTTCTGTGCCCCTGACCGAATGGGGTTCCATCCTTGGCAGCACCTCTGGTTCCCCCAACACTGCCAGGATTAGGGTCAGGGGCGGCCTCTCCGAAACCCAGCGAACAAAGGCTGGGATGGGCGGCCTGTTGCTGTCCTTATCCAAGCACGGGGAGCTGCCGTGGGCGTCCTGGGTCGTCACTCAGGATCTCCTTGCATCTGCTTCTGCCCATCCTTCCAGTCTGAGAGCAAAGCATCTCTGCTGAATAACTATGTGCTTGGTGCCCAGCTGGGCCGCGAACATGTGAATGGCCTCATGGAGCCGGTGGACATCCGATTCAGCCACAACCAAAGCCTGGTACTCTTGGGGAGCCCCTCCTCCGTCTCCATCACCCCTTCTCCCCGCTCCCTTACTCACCCACCCCCACCCTGCCACCCTCGACCCCCTGCATTGATCTGGCCAGACCTAGGTCCGGGGAACCCGTCTTAGACACACACTCTGGAATCTATCCCCCGTAGAAAACTCCCGTCAAAGAAACAGGAGAAAGACACTGCACTCGGAGCCTGCAGCGGGCTTCCTGGAGCTGAAACGCATCATAAGCCAGGGGGCTTGGAGTGAACCCGGTGGGGTTTGGAATGTCTCCCGGATGACTCCAGCTTCCCCCGAGGCTGGACCTAGGGCGCCGAGAGCGCCTTCATGACTTGTTCTCGAGCCGGTCAGCAGTGGTCCCTCTAGCCTCTGGCTGAACCATCTGCCCTCTATCCCAGCAGCCTCCTTCTCACCAGGCAGGGGAGGAGAATCTCCTCAGTCTAACAGTCCTGGGTACCCATCCCGGCCCCCGGGGGATGGGATGTGCTGATTGGCCAGGCTCAGGTCATGTGGCCTGATTTCTGGCGCTGCCATTGGTGGAGGGGCGGTGGAGGGGCGGGTCCTCGAATGAAGAAGGGCTGTTATGGGCACAAGTCTGATGCCTGAAATGCGTCTGGCCCTGATATTGCTGAAAAACCCCAGAGCCTCTGTGCTCCTAGTCCACCTTACCCAGACTCCCTCACCCCCACCCCCGGCCTCTGAGTTCTTCCTCCTCATTTCCTACTCCCCGTGGAGTCGGGCCTGGACTGGTGCTGCTCGCCCTGGGATTGAGAGGAGACTGGACAGCGGGAGTCTCTCTTGTTTGTTTGGTTTTTATTTTTTGCTTTTTTTTTCTTTCTGGGGTCACACCTGGCGATGCACAGGGGTTACTCCTGGGTCCTGCGCTCAGGAATTAGTCCTGGCGGTGCTCGGGGGACCATATGGGATGCTGGGAGTCGAACCTGGGGCAGCCGCGTGCAAGGCAAACGCCCTACCTGCTGTGCTATCGCTCCAGCTCCCTCTCTTGTTTGTTTTTATCCTGTCGCTTCCCTTTGCACCGATGCTGTGGTACCAGCGGAGGGAGGCTTGCACACCTGGGTTGTGGTGCTCAACTGAAGTTGCATGTGTGCTCATGTGCCCATTGCAGTCAATGGGCTTGGGTAGTGTTCCCATGTGCCACCCTCGACGGCTGGTTACAGAGCACCTACCAGAGAGACCAGAGATGGGCGTTGTCACCTTTGGATTGTCTATGGTTCTTGTGAGGGACCGAGGAATACCTGACCCCATTTTGCAGAGGAATAAACTGAGGCTCAGAGAAGCTCCAAGACAGCCTTCAGTCACCCTCAGAGTCCTGGGGAATGTTGACGAAGGGCCAGTTAGTTGAGTCTGTTAGACCTCATTGCATTCAGACACTGCCCCCTCCAACCCCCCTCCCTGCTCCCCTGCACCCCTTGGGTTCCACCCAACTCTAGTATCTCCCCCCAGGAACGCTACACAGTAACCTGTGTGTTCTGGAACGAGTCCAAAGACAGCCAAGACTACTGGGGGGAGTGGAGCCCCGAGGGCTGTGACACCGAGCTCTCCTCCCAGTCCCAAGTACTCTGTCGCTGCTACCACCTCAGCTACTTTGCAGTTCTCATGGTAAGTGTGCGTCTAGCTGGTATGTGTGTGTGTGTGTGTGTGTGTGTGTGTGTGTGTGTGTGTGTGTGTGTGTTGGGGGGGCGGGGAACAACCATGCCATGGACAAAGGTTGATACAAGGGACAGAACATCCAGCTCAAATGGGCTTTTTTTTTTTTTTTGCTTTTTGGGTCACACCTGGTGATGCTCAGGGGTCACTCCTGGCTTTGTTCTCAGGAATTGCTCCTGGCAGTGCTCAGGGGACCATATGGGATGCTGGGAATCGCGCCCGGGTTGGCCGCGTGCAAGGCAAACACCCTACCCACTGTGCTATCACTCCAGCCCCTCAAATGGGCTTTTGAGAAAAGAAAGCAACGGCCCAGAGAGAGAGAGAGAGAGAGAGAGAGAGAGCGCACAGAGGTTCGGTGCTTGCCTTGTGTTCAGCCTCCCTGGCTTTGCTGTGCAGTACTGCCAGGAGTGACCCCTGAGCACCCCGGGGTGTGGCCCCCACAACTTCCCCCACTGTAAGGACCCCAGTCTTGGTTTGATTCAGGAGCTCTGTGGCGCCCGGATCCTGTCTCACCATTGTGTCCTTCTGATGGGAAGTGCTCCAGAGTCCTTGGGGCAAGACTTCTGGCAGTACCAGGCTAACTGGGCTGGAGGGTCCACTGCTGGGACCTAGTAGAGCAGCACCACCTGGGCCCAGCGGTGCTAGGGACCCCCAGGGCCATACCTGGCAGTGCTGGAAAGGGGTCATGGAGTGCGTGGAACCCAGGTCCTGTCCTGGCACGTGCAAATCATGTTTCCTTGACCCCGGAGCTGTGTCCTGGCCCTCAGACTTGTGTTCGCTTTGGGCTGGTGGGGGGATGTCTCCCCCTGGGGGAGTAATGACACCTCGAAGCTCTAGACTCCTATCTGACCGGCATTTGGGCTTAAAAATGAGCTTCCCTTAACCCAAGACTGCCAGAGACTTGCGTGGAGTCTCATTGGCTCATGCATGACTCATGCCCGCCCCTTGGCCAATCACCAGGCGGGAGGAGGGCGGGCTCTGGCCAGCCAGGCTGGGTGCTCCTGACCACATGCAGGGGAGACTGCTGGGGGGAGCCTGTGCAGAGAGGGAGGGAGGGCGGTCCTCACAGCTGAAGGGGGGTGGTAGTTGCGGGGAGTGGCGCTGTCACATGGCCGAGACGATGCTAGGATGGCAGGGCAGTTGCCTGGGAGGGAGCCTGGACGCGGACGCGCGTCTAGTGCCCCTCCCCCATGCCCCCTTCCCTCCCGTAGCAGCTCACCCCGGGCCCCGTGGAAGTGCTCGAGCCTCTCTTCTACATCAGCATCGTGGGCTGCAGCATCTCCATCGTGTCTTCGCTGGTCACGGCGCTGCTGCATTTCCGTACCAGGTTCCCCGGAGGGGGGGAGGAGTTGCACAGGACCCCGCTTCTTTCCCAGAGGGGGGAGGCTTTGTCAGAGGGTGGTGGCCGGGTGGCAGGACACCGGCCTTGCTGGTGGCCGTTGACCGCGTGTGTGTGTGTGGGGGGGGGGTGGCACTGCCCGGGGGTGTGCCCAGACCACGGAGGGCCACGCTCGCGCCCGCAGGAAGCAGGGTGAGTCCTTGACGAGCATCCACATGAATCTGCACGGCTCCGTGCTGCTCCTGAACGTCTCCTTCCTGCTGAGCTCGGTGCTGGCCACATACCAGGAGTCCGAAATCATGTGCACGGTCCTGGGCGCCGTCCTGCACGGCGCCCTGCTCAGCTGCTTCTCCTGGATGGCCATCGAGGGCTTCAACCTCTGCATCCTCCTGGGGCGCGTCTACAACAGCTACTTCCGCCGCTACGTGCTCAAGCTCTGCGTGGTGGGCTGGGGTGAGTGCCGCCCCCCACCCCTGGGTGTCCGGAGGGCTCCAGCCAGACTGGGCGTCCACCCCCACCTGTCGTACCTCATCATCCATAGGACCGCTGGCCGCCCTCCCTGCCCACACCCAGCGCTGCTCCCCAAGTCACGGGCTTTAGCCCGGCCGTCCCTGTCCTCACCTCCACCATTCCCAGCTCTGTCATCACCCTCACCTCCTCCACGCTGCCTCCCGTAGATCACCTCCCCTCCGGCTCATCAACGGTGTCACCGCCATGGCTTCCTCCAACACCTCTCCTCCATCCCACCTTCACGATCACCCTCTCCTCCTGTCCACCTCCACACGTTACCTCCGCCCACCTCCATGACCACCTTCACCTCCACCATGTCTGCCCCTCCTACATATCACTTCCTCCTCCACGTCTAGCTCCTATGAACCACCTCCCCCTTTACCTCCATCACCTCTACACCACCATCACCTCCGCCATGGATCTGCCCCCCCCCTCCCCGTCCACATCACTCCATCACCCTTTTATCACTGCCACTTCCCCCCTACCATGGCCCCCTCATGCACCACCGTGTCTGGTCTCTCTGCCACCATGCTAGCCCCTCTAGCATATCTTCTCTCCTGCCCCTCCAAGCCTTTGCCCCATTGGCTCCCAGAGAGAGAGGGAGAGGGAGAAGGCGAGAGGAGATGGGGAGGGGGTGGGGGAGGGAAAAAGGGGAAGGGGGAAGGAAAGGGGGAGGGGAGGGGGAGGGAGAGTGAGGGAGAGAGGAGGAGGAGGAGGAGAAGGAGAAGGAGGTGGAGGAGGAGGAGGAGGAGGAGGAGGAGGAGGAAGGGGAGAGAGTGGTACCCATTGCCTCGGCCACTACCAGCCCACCAGGACCCTGCTGCCTCAACCTCCCCTGGATGGGGCACGGGCAGCTTTGGGCTGGCCCAGATCCCCTCCGGTCTCCGCTCCCCAGGGCTCCCGGCCTTCCTGGTGCTGCTGGTCCTTAGCATCGAGAAGTCCGCGTACGGGCGCTACATGGTGCCCTTCACCGACAGCCAGGGCAACAGCTCTGCCTCCCGCAATGTGTCCCTGTGAGTGTGTCCGGTGGGGGGCTGTCCTGGCTTGGGACAGGGTGTGTTGTGTGTGTGTGGGGGGGTGGTGGTGGGGAGGTGCTGTGCTTCCAGGGGCTGAGCCACACCCCCACTGGGACCCCAGTCTCCTGGCTCCACCATCCTGCCCTCTGTGTCCTTGGCAACTTTCAATTTTTTTTTGTTTTTTTGGCCTTTCTGATAACAGCACCTGACAGGTGAGAGGTGACGAATTCTGAAACACAGCACTGATTTTAAAGGCTGCTGAACCCAGAAACCCGCCAATCCCCTGGCTTGAAGGTGGCTAAATCACACTGCCCAGCTGTCCCTGGCGGGCATGACCACCCCCAACCCCTCGGGTGGAGTCTACGGCTGCTGTGTCAAGGTCTCCCCCTGAAGCCGGTGGTGACAGTTGCAGGCATCGGTTCTGGGTTCACGGTCTCAAGTCTGACCTGGCTCACGTAGTTGTCCAGAGCCTCAGTTTGCTCATCTCTAGGATGGGCCCATGCTGTGTCAGGCTTGTTGAGTCTCTCTGAGGACCATGCGGGCTGATGCACAAAAGCACACGGTACAGAGTCTGGGGAACTGTGGATGGCGCCTGTCTAGAAGGGACTTCAAGACCCAAGGGAGGTCTCAGACCAAGGCGGGCTCAGACCACCAGTTCTCTGCAGCTCCCTCCTTGGCACTGTGGGTCTCTGCTCCTCAATCCGCTCACAGGGGCGCCCCCTGCAGGCAGTGATGTGCAGTGCCTTGGAGTGTGAGTGGTGCCCAGTGGAGCTTGGAAGGGGGCGACTCAGGAACCACAATCCCCGCCGTGCTGCACAGTGGCCCCTGGGCAGGGCTGCGCGGCCAGGGTCTGGGCGGGGGGACTGTGAACCCCTGTGGGAGTCACTGGGCTGCCACTGTCCGCAGGTGCTGGGTGTGCAGTCCCAAGGTGCACGCCGTCCTGGTCATAGGCTACGGGGGCGTCACGTGCCTCTTCAACCTGGTGGTGCTGGGCTGGGCGCTGAGGATCCTGCACAGGCTGCGGGCCCAGGAGCAGGCGCTGGGTGCACAGGCCCGGCGGGACGCGGTCACCGTGCTGGGCCTCACCGTGCTGCTGGGCACCACCTGGATCCTGGGCTTCTTCTCCTTCGGCGTCTTTCTGGTGCCCCAGCTCTTCCTCTTCACCATCATCAACTCGCTTTATGGTAAGTCGGGGGGTGATGAAGGGTGTGGGGAGATCAGAGTGTGTGAGTGTGTGAGAGAGAAAGAGACAGAGACAAAGACAGAGAATGTGTGTGAGAGGATGTATGTGAGATAGTATGTGTGTGAGAGAGGATGTGGGAGAGAGAATGTATGTGAGAGAGAATGTGTGTGAAGGAGAATGTGTGAAAGAGAATGTGTGTGACAGAGAATGTGTGTGAGATAGTATCTGTGTGAGGGAGAATGTGAAAGAGAATGTGTGTGTGAGAGAATGTGTATGTGTGAGAGAGAATGTATGTGAGAGAGAATGTAAGAGAGAATGTGTGTGAGAGAGAATGTGAGAGAGAATATGTGTGAGAGATTCAGTCTTGGGAGATTATAGGAATCCAGGAATTTATCCATTTCTTCTAGGTTCTCTTGTTTTGTGGCATAGAGACTTTCAAAGTAGTCTCTGATGATCTTTTGAATTTCTTTGGTTTCTGTTGTGATATCCCCCTTCTAATTTCTGATTTGGTTTATTAGGGTTCTCTCTCTCTCTTTCTTTGTGAGTCTATCTAGTGGTTTATCTATCTTGTTTATTTTCTCAAAGAACCAGCTCTTGGTTTCATTGATCTTTTAGATTGTTTTTTTTTGGGGGGGGGGTTTCCATGTCGCTGATTTCTGCTCTAAGTTTTATGATCTCTTTCCTTTTGCCTGGTTTGGGCTCCTTTTGTTGGTCCTTTTCTAAGATCTTGAGCTGTGAAGTCAAATTGTTTATGTGGGCCCTTTCTTCCTTCCTGAGAAATGCTTGCAGAGCTATAAATTTTCCCCTTGACACGGCTTTAGCTGCATCCCATAGGTTCTGGTAACTCGTGTCTTTATTCTCATTTGTTTCCAGGTATCTTTTGATTTCATCCTTGACTTCCTTCCTGACCTACTCGTTGTTCAACATTGAGTTGTTTAATTTCCAGGTGTTTGATTTGGTTCTCCGTGTCTGTGTGTGATTCACTTATATCTTCAGTGCATTGTGGTCTGAAAAGATTGTTGATACTATTTCTATCTTCCTGATTCTATCGAGGTATATTTTGTGGCCTACCACATGGTCTATTTTGAAATATATGTGTGAGAAAGAATGTGAGAGAGAATATGTGAGAGAGAATATGGGAGGATGTGTGTGAGATAGTATATGTGTGTGAGAGAATGCATGAGTGTGAGAAAAAGTGTGTGTGAGAGAATGTGTGAGAGAGAATGAATGTGAGAGAGAATGTAAGAGAAAATTTGTGTGAAAGGGTGTGAGAGAGAATGTGTGTGAGAGAATGTGCGTGTGAGAGAGGATATGTGTTTGACAAAATGTGTGTGAGAGAGAGAATGTGTGTGAGAGAATGTAAGAGAATGTGTGTGAGAGAGAATATGTGAGAGGGAATGTAAAAGAGAGAATGTGTGTGAGAGAGAATGTGAGAGAATGTGTATGAGAGAGAATGTGTGTGTGAGAGAATGTGTATGAGAGACCAAGGGTGGGAGAACTTCAGGGAGGTCTCGAGGGTGGGCTCAGACCACCAGTTCTCTGCAGCTCCCTCCTCGGCTCTGTAGGATCTCCTGTAAGAGAAAATGTGTGAGTGTGTGGGGGGGGGAGGGGGGCTGGAGCGATAGTACAGTGGGTATGTCTTGGTCTTGCATGCATGTGACCTACCTGGGTTTGATCCCCAGCATCCCATATGATCCCCTGAGCACTGCCAGGAGGGATTCCTTACTGCAGAGCCAGGAGTAACCCCCAAGCATTGTCAGGTGCGGCCCCCAAAAATCAAAACAAAACAAAAAGAATGTGTGTGAGAGAGAATGTGCGTGTGAGAGAGAATGTGTGTTTTTGAGAATGTGTGTGTGTGTGTGTGTGAGAGAGAGAGAGGGTACTAAGCCCACAGTCAGCTAGCAGCCAAACTGGTCTGGGGTGGTGTTGCCTTGGAGTTTGCACTCCAGGGGTTCACTGAGAGCTCCCCACAACTTTCCAGCCCTTCCCTGTGAGGGGATCTGAGGATTCCTCCTGCCCCCTCCCCACCCCCCACCCACAGGAGGCCCTGATGCTCCAGCTGACTGGCCCTGTCCCCACAGGTTTCTTCCTCTTCCTGTGGTTCTGCTGCCAGAGGTGGCACTCGGAGGCCAAGGCCAAGACGGAGATGGAGACGGTCAGCACCTCCCGGATTATTCAGTAGCCCAAACCTCGAGGCCTCAGCCACTGTCTCATGCCAGCTTCTGCCCCCAGAGGTGTTGTCCAGCTGCTGACACTCGAAGCCCGCCGTGCCCTGCGGGGACCCGGCTCCCTTTGAGGCTTCCCCGGGCTGAAGGGGCCTTGGCTTTTTGCTCTGGGACAGACCTGACCCACCATGGGGTGAAGTGGGTGCAGCACACCCTCCTCAGTGCCGGGCCCCGCCGGCCTGGAGTCAGGAGCGCGCCTTCGAATAGACTCAAAACCCTGCCCTGACCTGTCACTTCTCAAGGCTGTTGGCCTCCGGGGCGGGGATGGCAGAACTGGATGCTCGGTTCCACTAAGCACAGTGCTTCCAAGGACTTGGGGAATGAGGACGAAGAGGGTCGATTGAGAGGGGGGATTCCCCAACAAGGCTTACCCTGTTTCCTCTGCTTCCCATCTGGGGGTGGGTCTCAGACACAGCTCCCCGAACCCCCTGGGGAGGGTCAGACTGCTTTTTATTCTGGAGATCCTTGTTCCAGGACTCTGTTCAGGTCCCTCCGGCCATGCCTGAGGCCCTTTGTGCCTTTCTGTCGTTTGGGTCACAGCTAGTGGTCCTGGAGCCTATGTTGGTGTTGGGTTTGGGGGTCACTCCCTGGCAGGGCTTGAGGGCTACTCAGCTCTGTCAGTCAAACCCTGTAAAGCAGGTGCCCCAGCCTTTTGTGCCATGCCCACAGCTAGAGGCCCCTTGGCTTAATTTTTTCTCTTTTTGGGTATCACCCGGCGATGCACAGGGGTTACTCCTGGCTCTGCACTCAGGAATCACTCCTGGTGGTGCTGGGGGACCATATGGGACGCTGGGAATCGAACCCGGGTCGGCCGTGTGCAAGGCAAACGCCCTACTCGCTGTGCTATCACTCCAGCCATCGAGGCCCCCTTGGGAGAAGGGAGGGTGTGTGTTCTAAATCCCAAGCCTCAGCGACTCAGCTCCGAGGATCTCTTGCCCTTGCCTTGGGTCTCAAACCCAGCGAAGCGCTCAGTGCCTTCTCCAGGTGACCCAGCAGGGGGCGCAGTCGGCCCGTGCGCAGAGGGAACCTGCGTCTGCGACCGCGGCGATCAGTGCTCTGATCCGGGCTCTGACCCACCACGTCCTGGGCTGCATCTGCGGGGGGCGGGCGGGGGGTGCGGAGGGACTGGCTTCTCTCCCTTCAAACGCCTGCTCTACTCAGGGGCTTGTGCTCTGCGCATCCCTGGCAGCTCAGGGTCATGACTGGGGCTAACGGAGGTTGACTGCGCAGCCTGCCCTGGCTGTGGGCCCAGAGCAGGAATTCCCACCGTGCAGGAATCGGAACCAGATCGTCCCAGCCGAAGCCTCTGTTCAACGCCTGACCTAACAGCCCTTGGTCAGTGCCCAGCAGTGTGGACTCCGGGGCCAGCTTTCTGATTGCAGTTGCCTCTCGCCAGCTCTCTCCTCCGTAAAGTGTCTCTGTGACTCAGTTTCCCACCTGGATAAGGGGAGTGACAGAAACTTGTCTAATTTTTTCCCTTAGAACTTTGGGACCACACCTGGTTGTGCTCAGAGGCGTCTCCGGCCAGGAGTGGCCCCGGGTGCTTCTTGGGGAACCCCATGCGGTATCGGGCACGGAGCTAGGGTTGGGGTAGAAGCAACGTGGGAAAGGTCTTACCTCCTGTGGTCTCTCCAGCCGGAATCACCTGTGTGGTTTGTGCTTTCTGGGGCCACACCTGGCAGTGCTCAGGACTTACTCCTGGCTCTGTGTTCAGGGGTCACTCCTGGTGATACTCAGGAAACCACCTATCATGCTGGGGATCAAACTGGGGTTGGCGCATGCCAAGCCACAGCCCCTTAAGCCCCAAACTATTTCTCTGACTCTTGGAAGCGCCGATCTGGAAGATGGAATAAAACAACCCTTCTCTGAGCCGTGATGTCGCTTAGCGGTCGAGCACCTGGCTTGCGTGTACGATGCCTGGGTTTGCCCAGCAGCTTTGGGACAAGCAGAGTCCGCCATAGGGAGAAGTCCAGCCTAGAGTTAGTGCTGAGTGAGTGGCCACTGGTGGTGGCGGTGGGAGTCTTGCTCGTACGAGGTGTCTGCTCACCGCTCGTGAGTCTCGGAGGCTGGCTGGTCTGATGGCCAGGCCTAGCTGCTGGCTAGGCACATCCCGCTGTCCCTTGACTTTGTCAACTCCTGCCGCACGTCCCAGAGTGGCCGCCTCTGCTCCAGCCCTGTTGGCCTTGTCCCACACCGTGTGGCCTGCAGGGGGCGGTGTCTGCTCCCAAGACCTGAGTCCCCCAAACCCTCTGATGCCTTCCCATGGGGCTTCTCTGGAAGCTCCCCCAGGCTCAGGTCCCTTTCCCCGTCTGGCTGCACACAGAGCCCCCCACCGCACCCCCCTGAGCAGGGCAATGCCTCAGGTGGAGACCCGGTCCTATGTTGAGGATCAGGGAGCCTCTGGCATCTCTCCCAGGCAGTGCTAGGAGGGGTGGCCCAGGCGGGGCCTGCAGCCCCGTGAGGTGGGGTCTTCCTGCCGCCCACCTCTGCACCCCCCACCCCGAGCCACAGCCCCACAGCCCCACACGCCAAGCTCAGGGAGGATGTGGCTGCCCTGACTCAGGCTGGCTCTGGGGTTCCAGGAAACAGCCCAACAAGTGGCCCCAGGCCTGTTTGGGGTGGGCTCTGGGCAGGGACCACTTCCTGGAAATGCTCCTGGGCTGTGGGGTGGGATGTGTGGCAGCACCCCTCACAATCTTGGCAGAGCAGGCTTCCAGATGGCTGGTAAAGATGGGGCCAGTGCAGTGTGGGGGCCACCGACGGGGGCTGGGAGTCCCGGAGGGGCTTGGTTAAAGTGACGAGTGAATGCAGATGCCTGAGGCTGGGAATATGCATGTCATTTTATTTATTTAATAATGTAGGAGTACTGTTATTTATTCAGCCATTGATTAAGCTAATTGAATTGGGCATGAACTTCACATTACTTTTATGTTTTATTGTATCACCATAGAGTCACAAAGCTTTCATGCTGAAGATTCAGCCATACAATGATGGTAACACCCATCTCTTCACCAGTGCACATTTTCCACCACCACCCACATCTTGGTCCTCCTCACTCTGCCTCTATGGCAGACAATTTCCCCAATACACACTCTCTCTCTCTCTCTCTCTCTCTCTCATTTTGGGCATTATGGGTTTTCTTTTTTGTTTTTCGGCTTTTTGGGTCACACCTGGCAATGTACAGGGGTTACCCCTGCCTCTACACTCAGGAGTTACTCCTGGCGGCGCTCAGGGGACCATATGGGATGCTGGGAATCGAACCCGGGTCAGCCATGTGCAAGGCAAACGCCCTACCCACTGTGCTAATCACTCCAGCCCCTGAGCATTATGTTTTGCTTGAAGTTTCCCACCACCATTCAAGCCTACCTGCCAGGGGCAGATGCGAAATAACTTATTTTTTTTCCATTGCCCATTTTGAATATCACGGGAGCTCGCACGGCCGGGTATAGAAGTGTAAATTTCTAGATTGTAAATGGTTGGGTTCCAGAGACATCTCTGTATGACACTAACCCATTTTGGATTCAATTGGGAGTCTCTGGGCCAGGGCTGTTGGTGGGCTAAGATATGGCACCCAGAGGGAAGTTGTGGGCGTGACAGACAGTCTACTGGGTGGGTGGGGACCTGGGGAGGGACAGCCCGGTCCTCTGCCGCCCTGCAGCCTGGAGATTTAGTCCTGGAACCCACATGTGGGTGGGGGGGGGCGCAGGAGGGGGGTTGCTTGCTTGTGGAAGCTCTTGGTCCCAGGATTCCATCTGGAGTAGGCGGGGAGACTGCACCTGCTGCATCTGGGGTGCCCTGGTGAATTTGACTCGGCATCCCACGTTCTTTTATGGCTGTTATTTGGGAGAGCCACGGGCTGTGTGTGCACATGTGTGTACGTGCAGGCACACATCTGTACCTGTGTCAGGGAGGGTGTTGAAAGTAGGGTTGTTGGGTAAAATAGAGAGTAACTAATTGGGAGGTACACAGTAAAATAAATCCTGGATTCAGGTGTAGCCAGGAGTGGCTTCATCTCTCCACCTCTCTCTTCCTCTGGGTCCTCAGGGCCCGGCTGGATCCCAGGGTCACACTTGGCCAAAAAAGGCTCTGCCTCTTTTTTGGGGGGGGGGAGCGGGGAGCATACCTGGCATGCTCAGGGGTTACTCCTGGCTCTGTGCTCAGGGCTTGTCACTCCTGGTGGTGCTTGGGGAACTGTCTGAGATACCAGGGATCGAACTGGGTCAGCCGCACGTGAGGCAAGCGTCCTCCCCACTGTGCTGTTGCTCCCTTTCTGGCCCCAGGGTCCTGCCACCTTCTTTATTGTTCTTGGTTAGTAGCCCTGTTAGAAAGGAGTGTAGAAATGGGGTGCAGGAAACGCGTTCCCCCAACCCTCCAGGCCAGTCCACACCTGCTGCCTGGCACTCTCAGGTCCACACGTTTCTGACTCAGCTCAGGGACCAGCCCCGGATGGACGCCACCAGGCCTGTGAGGAGTGAGGCTGATGGCATCCCCGCCACGCCAGCCTGGCCCAGGATCCCGCCTCAGTCTCTCTCCTGGGGGTCTCCTCATAGAACCCCCTGCACGCCTAGCTCTAGCCTTAGCTTACCCGAGAGCCTGAGGGAACCCTCCACCTGGCACCTGTCTCCATCCCTCTCACTACTAATTCCGCACCCCCTCCCACCAATGGAGACAAAGGTGGGGAGGGGGCTGGCCCGGGCCCCTCCACCCTTCTTCTTCCCCAGGCCCTGCACAGGGAATCACCTTCAGCCTCAGGTCCTTTGACAGCCCCTCAGGGCTCAGTAAGTGGCTCAGCCCATGCCCAGCCCTGGGCCCCAGTCCTTCTCTGAGAGCTCCTCTCCTGACCCCCAACCCAGGGAGGTGCTTGCTCTCAGTTCCAATCCCCGGCCCATCCCCCAGAGCCGGGAGTTGCTTTCCTGTACACCCCTCTGTCTGGGACTCACAGTGGGGAGCACATGAT